GAAATACTTTAATTGGTTGATAGAAGATGGTAATTAATTTGTTATAGAAAATTCATATCAAAATACTTATTCACAGGATTAAGCATGAAATGAATCAAGACTATAAATGAGATTGGGAGAAAGAATAAAGGAAATTCAAAAATTGTTTGTTGTCCCTGTTGTGGTAGGAGGCATTTGGGAGACAAAGTGTGTGTATGGAGTTATGCGCATGTGTTTTTATTGTTCATTACAGTACTTGTTATTGTAGAAAAGGTATGAATTGTATCACAGATTTGAATTACAAGGCAGTATGGATCAATCCAATTAAAATATCCGTTTGTGACTTTTTGACCCTAGCGCTAATAGACTAAGGCTAAAAATCGAAATATTTTAGTTGGTTGACAAATTGTCAGTACATTCATATCAAAATATTTATCTCTAGGGTTAAATATGAAGTGAATTAAAACTGAGTGTGAGATTGGGAGAAAGAACAAAGAGAATTTAAAAAATATTTGCTGTTGTTGTCATGGGAGGAGGCATGTGGGACAGATTGTGTGTATGTCCCTATGCACCTGTGTGTGTATTGTTCACCATAATTTTTGTGATCAAAGAAAGAGCACCAAGTGGATTTACTCTCCTATCAATCTCTTCGATCAATGAATATCTGGATTAAAATGTAAGAAAGAGTTGAAATATATTTTTAAAATTCATAAATTTTGCCCTTGTTGTGTGTGGTTGGAACTATATGTGTGTGCCGTATGTGTATTAGTCTGTGTGTGTGCTTTTGTGTATTTTTTAAAGATTAAGTGTGTGTATACATTTTGTGTTTGTGACTTTTCCCCATTGTAGTTACAACCAAGGGTTTTTCCCAAGAGGAGTAATTATGTGTGAATATTTCATGTTTACTCTTAAACATTCTATATACAGTTACGAGCGTCTTTCCTCATCTCCTAATCAATCATCTCTCTCTGTCATCGTTTGCTTTTTTTTTGGAATGGCGCCCTCCTATTGGTTGGCTACGGTCACGCCACCTTTGCCCCCCCACTCGCTATTTATGTAACTATTGTGTTGGAGCGGGTCGCTCCCTAAATAAATGCATATATTAGATAATAACCAAATGTAATCCTCTCTTTCTTTTTCCCAGTAAGAGACGCCTACGGAAGCCAACAGTACATAGACAGATAAAGCACATAGGCTATAGTTATTAACCAACATATGCAATTATTTAAGGCGCCAATTTATAATTGTAACAAATAGTATTTGAATCAAAACATTCAATCGGGTAAAGCATGGGCGTTGCCCGGGTCATTCGGCTAGTTAGTATAAATGTTCAATGACAAGTTTCAAGCAGTTCGTATTATAATAAACAAATATTAACAAGGTGTATATTTCCAATAAAACCCACCAATATGACTCCTTTTCTCTAAAATTAAAACATGAGTACACCCAAAAAACTCATGTAATTATCAAGATCACTACAATATTACTACATTGGATGATCGAATAAAAACAATAATAACAACGTTATCCAAATTTCAGTATTTCATCAATCACCTTTAGATCTATTTTTAAATAACTATAACACTGGATTGATTGATTAAAAAATGTCAATTTCTTTCCTTTAATAGTCATGTCACTCATTATCAAATAATTCAACTTAATGAAAATCTAGAAAGTTCAAACAATTTTTTTTTAAGAAAAAAAGGGGGGGGGGGGATATTTTAAATTTAAGTACTGAACATCAAATATCAATTCGATTATAGACACGAATTATAAGGCAGTACGAATAAATTAAATTAAAATATTTGTGTGTGATTCTTTGGTGTTAGCCTCGATAGATCAAGGTCAAAGATCGAAATACCCTAATTGGTTGAAAGAAGATGGTAATTAATTTGCCATAGAAAATCCATATCAAAATATCTATTTACAGGGCCAATTATGAATTGAATCAAAACCAAAAGTGAGATTGGGAGAAAGAATAAAGATAACTTAAAAACTGTTTGCCGTTCTCGTTGCGGCAGGAGGCATGTGGGAGACAAAGTTTGTGCATGCACCCATGCGCATGTGCCTTCATTGTCCATTACAGTATTTGTGATTATAGAAAAAGCTATCATTTGGACCACAGACCTGAATTATAAGGTAGTATGGATCAATCCAATTAAAATATTTGTGTGTGATTCTTTGGCCTTAGTGCCGATAGACCAAGGCGAAAGATCGAAATATTCTAGTTGGTTGATAAATTGTCAGTAATTCCCATTAAAACATTTATCTCTAGGGTTAAATATGAAGTGAATTAAAGCTAAAAGTGAGATTGGGAGAAAGAATTAGAAAATTTAAAAAATGTTTGTTGTTGTAGTTATGGGAGGAGGTATGTGGGACAGATTGTGTGTATGTCCTTATGCACCTGTGTGTATTGTTCACCATAATCCTTGTGATCAAAGAAAAATTATTAATTGGATTGTAGATTTGTATTGCAAGGCAGTATGAAAAAAGCCAATTAAAATATTTGTGTGAGACTCTTTTGTTTTAGTGAATATAGACTAAGACGAAAGATCGAAATATTGTAATTGGTCGATAAAAGATTGTACTTAGAAAAATCAAATCAACATACTTATCTCTAGGCTTAAGCATAGAATGAATTAAAACTAAATGTGAGATTGTGAGAAAGAACAAAGGAAATTTAAAAAAATGTCTCTTGTTGTAGCCGTGGCAGGAGGCATTTGGGACCGAGTGTCTGTATGTCCCCATGTGTATGCGTGTCCAGTGTACATTGCAATCCCTGTGACCGAATAAATAGTGTCAACTAGACTTTAGACCTGAATTACAAGGCAGTATCAATAAGGCCATTTGAATATTTTTTTTTGTGTGTGTGCGATTCTTTGGCGTTAGTGCTGATAGATTAAGGCGAAAGATCGAAATATTTCAATTGGTTGACAAAAGATGGCCATTAAATTGTCAGAACATTCAAATCAACACACCCATCTCCATGGCCAAGCATTAAATGAATCAAATCAAAAGTGAGATTGTGAGAAAGAATAAAGAAATATCTATTCAGCCTTCTATTTTAGTAAGAAAATATAACAAAAAACAACAAAATTCAACAACTATAATACTGAATCAAGAAATATGTCAGTAGTATTCCATTCAAGGTTGTGATTACAAATCTAGTAAAAGTATTTGTATAGTGCCAAAGCCCTTTGAGTTGTTAGATATCATAGACAAATATCCATGCCCTAGTCCTGTGATCATTGACTGCACCAATGTTGTCTCATATACTCTAAAATAAAAGTCAATTTTATTTTTTTAGTTGTTTGATGACTGTATAACCACCACAACAGAAAAAATTATTTCAATCAATTATCAAGTAATTTAGTACCAGTATTTAAAAACTAATTCAATGATGAATGAAAGTAATATTTATTTAACTATCAAAACTAAGTTTGATCAATAATTTTATGTTAACTTATGTCCAATAATCAAATCAAAATTGATTCAAATTTTCATAAAATTTCATATAAAGACATTGGCCCTGTAAATAGATATTTTGATATGCATTTTCTATGGCAAATTAATTACCATCTTCTTTCAACCAATTAGGGTATTTCGATCTTTGACCTTGATCTATCGACGCTAACACCAAATAATCACACACAAATATTTTAATTTAATTTATTCATTCTGCCTTATAATTCGTGTCTATAATCGAAATGATATATTTTCTTTGTTCAGTACTTCAGTTTAAAATACCCCCCCCCTTTTTTTTTCTTAAAAAAAAAAAAAAAATTGAACTTTCTAGATTTTCATTAAGTTAAATTATTTGATACTAAGTGACATGACTATTAAAGGAAATAAATTGAAATTTTTCAATCAATACCCTGTGTTATAGTTATTTATAAATAGATCTAAAGGTGATTGATGAAAAACTGAAATTTGGATAACGTTGTTATTATTTGAGTCAAGTTGTTATTATTGTTTTTATTCGATCATCCAATGTAGTAATATTGTAGTGATCTTGATAATTACATGGGTTTTTGGGTGTACTCATGTTTTAATTTTAGAGAAAAGGAGACATATTGGTGGGTTTTATTGGAAATATACACCTTGTTAATATTTGTCTATTATAATACGAACTGTTTGAAACTTGTCATTGAACATATATACTACAACAACAAAACAACTTCATTAGGGCGTCTTGCCCTGTACAGATTCGCCGTGGAATTACAGACAATATTCAACA